GCCTAGTGCATTACGCATCATGGCCATCGTACAAGATCCAGATCACATGTGGCACACATGCCTAGTGCATTACGCATCATGGCCATCGTACAAGATCCAGATCACATGTGGCACACACACCTAGTGCAATACACATCATGGCCATCACACCAAGATCCAGATCACATGTGGCACACACACCTAGTGCATTACGCATCATGGCCATCATACCAAGATCCAGATCACATGTGGCACACACAACTAGTGCTTTACACATCATGGCCATCACACCAAGATCCAGATCACATGTGGCACACACACACACACACACACACACACCTAGTGCAATGCACATCATGATCATCACACCAAGATCCAGATCACAAGTGGCACACACACACCTAGTGCAATACACATCATGGCCATCACACTAAGATCCAGGCCACAAGTGGCACACACACCTAGTGCATTACACATCATGACCATCACACCAAGATCCAGATCACATGTGGCACACACACCTAGTGCATTACACATCATGACCATCACACCAAGATCCAAATCATATGTGGCACACACACCTCGTGCTTTACACATCGTGGCCATCACATCAAGATCCAGATCACAGGTGGTACACACACCTAGTGCATTACACATCATGGCCATCACCCCCAAGATCCAGATCACATGTGGCACACACAACTAGTGCGTTACACATCATAACCATCATACCAAGATCCAGATCCCAGGTTATATATACACATAGCATCACACACTATACCTGTAATACTCATTCCACCCACTGTAGCAATATAACAAGTCATTTATTTCTAAATGTCATCATTATACTACAGCCAATGAGGATTACAGCTAATCTTGCGATACTAAAAACAAATTTCCAAATAATTGCCAAGATTATTGACAATCATCCAGTTATCACTAGATCAGGTTGGAAAAGAAATGAAGAGACTTGAATTGGCTGAGAAGAAATAAATCAGAAGCAAGTAAGCTGAAACAATTAAATACACTTGTTTTGTAATTTTTTAAACCTGCAGCAAGTGAACTGACTCTGCAGGAATCCAAGTTTTAAATGGTATCTCTCAAAATGAAGACTAGTCAGCTTGTAGACCACTGAGAACTGAAATGACTTGCAGGAATGCAAGTTCTAAATGGTATCTTTCAAAATGAAGACTAGTCAGCTTGTAGACCACTGAGAACTGAAATGACTTGCAGGAATGCAAGTTCTAAATGGTATCTTCCAAAATGAAGACAAGTCAGCTTGTAGACCACTGAGAACTGAAATGACTTGCAGGAATGCAAGTTCTAAATGGTATCTTCCAAAATGAAGACAAGTCAGCTTGTAGACTACTAAGAATGTGACTTGAGGAACAAACAAAAATGTGACTTCCTTTACTTTTACATGTATTTTGTTTACAAAATCTGAATTTTATTTTACCAAATTACAAATTCCACAACTCTAGTTAAAGGTGTTTTTTTCAAAATCACTGCAATAAATTCCTTTGTTGCATCAATGAAATGCTAGTGAATTAGTGCAATGCATCACAGCAAATCTTTTTGGTGCATCATATCAGCTCAGAGGGATACACTGCTATTGATAAAACAAATGCAAGATGCACTTCATAATCAAAAGTGAAACTTACTTCAGTGGTATGGTTCGATCTCCTTTCCTTCTATCCATTTCCCGTTTTGGTACAGAATACCACCTGAAATTCAGCTTCCAATTGAATCCACCATAAGTCATGTCTGATCCGGCATGAAATTCAAACGTCTCATCACTGATCACATCAATAATGGGACAAACCACTCTGGATCTGCAATAGAAATAGGCAATATTTTTATTTAAACTCACTAAAGGCAATTAAACAATAACAATTCTAATATAGTGTACCTAATCCCTGTATTTATGGTTTGAAGAAATTCATTTGCATAAGACCAATCAAATTGAAGTATTTATGTACAAAACACAATTTGATTATACAGATGAATAATATGTACAAGAATACGTAATTAATATTGTATTTTTTGCAGCTACAAATTTTCCAAATTTTGCGAAAGTCACTGACAGACCGTGTCATAGGGCAAGCAAACAAAATTTTTAAAGTTTCAATGTCTCACAAAATTCATGATTATTGTTTTCCATTCCTAACAGAAAAAATAGATTATGCCTAACTGCTGAATAAGGACATGGTTTATTTTTGGTTTATACAATATAATGAGGTACCAATACTACAAATAGCTTGCATTAATCCAGAAACATTTCAATATAAAAAGTGACAACCTACATCAGCATCAGCGACACATTAAGCCATTACATTCACAGTGAGAGGTACCAAAGATTGTAAAGGCTTATGTCATAAGGTTTGTTGTGATGTCACTAAGCATTACGTCATGTAATGAAATTCAGACAAACAAATGAGTAAACAGGAACTACTGTTGTAGTGACCATCAAACCTGATTGAATTGAATTGTATAAAAGTTCCCTAATAGTGCAGCAATATATCTCAACAAAACATGGAGAGAAAAGTATCAGCAAGCTATTTAAAGGGAAAAGTAATTTTTTTTTTGCTTTTAGAGGAGGGGGGGATTAGGTAATACTCCATCATGAAAATAACATATTGGAATACTGCACTATCTAGTCACAGATCTTGGATCATATTAATTACATCTGGTTCTCATGATCAGCAGTATAATTGTTTTCAATCTGTACACTTATTTTTGTGTCAAATTCTAACCAATACCTTATGAATTATAGCTGATATCCAAATTTGAGGATCATCTGATAAGAATCATTTGCGTTATTGCAAAGAAACAAAGTTTATGACAGATACAACAACAATGAGAACAAGGACAGACATTTCCTCTTTGTACAACTAAAAAAAAAAAATATTTCTGTAATAACAGAGAGTAAAGAAGTTTTGTTGTTGTTGCCCAATAAAGAAAAATATAGTAGTTCCATTGAGGTCAATTGTTCCACAGAAAATAGCATAACTGTTTACAATTTTGTATCAACACTGAATTGATGAGCCATAATAGCATGTGTGCATGATTGAGCACAATACATGCAATTTTTCTGAGAGAGCATGTACATGTAGCCCCTTTTCATTCTAAGGGTAAGACTGTTGACATATTAGAATATGTTACCAGTCAAAACTGTATGGACTCCATGCGATGATCATGATAAATATTTAGACTTAAAACAAGCAGCCTATCGGCTGAGATAGCTCCGCTGTTAGCAATGCACATTTCAATTAAAGAACTGAAGACATGATTAGAAAATGAACATATGAATAGTATCAAAGCATCAGACTTACAGTTTTAACAAGAAGTCGAAAATATCACTTTTTACCAAAAATTACAAAATATTCACCAAATAAATTAATTAGAGAATTGAAGAT